TACACGACAAGGCGGTTGCATAAATGTCTGTGTGCAAACTGATGCAACTCTGGCCAGACCTACTTCTGCCAATACTCTTTAAGCTAGCGTACCACTCACCTCTGGAAAGCATTGCGGCAGGTTGTTCATGGGATCAGAAGCACAGCAAGATTTAAAGGTGCAGCATTTCACAGAGCTCCGCACGGCCTTTGACGCCTGCACAGGATATGGTTTGCAAAGGCTTCCTTGGAGGGACCTCGTGCTGGGTGCAGCCATGCCCTGGGTGCTGAGTTAGATGGGCTCTAAGTCTGAACACTGGTTGGTAATTCCTACATAAAATAAAATTTGTGGGGGGGGGGGGGGGGGGGGGTGAGGGGAGTGTTAAAGGCTTTTCCAGCGGTGGCCGTGGCTACCTGCTGCAGTGGGGAGGCTGGGCTGGGCCAGAGAACTGCCCCGGGCAGCTGCCACCGTCGCGGGCACGCTTGGTCTGTCCTCTGCATGTGCTGAACATGCAGCAGATTTGTGTTAAGTAGAAACTGTCCCACAGTGAAAAGCAAAGGAAACAGCAAGAAATGTATTCACTCACAATATTTTCATTTACTGTTGAAGATGTGAAGCAAGTGTCTTAGTTTTCTACGAAAACTTCCCATAAAAGATCATTAATATCAACCACTGATTTTTTTTTTTTTTGGTGATCTGAAGAATCAAAAAGGGGAGATTTGTTTCTCAGCCTGGTGACTGTGGATATAGGACACTGAGCTACCTGGGACTAAGATTTCATATTTTTCACTTGCTGAATAAAGGCAAAACCATTTGCAGCAAGCTGACTGAGAATGGAATGCCTTGTCTCAATAATAATCTGCTTTCTCTCTGAAGAATCTATTGACTTTTCTGCTCTTTTAAAGCTAATAAATGAATTAAATATATCCAAACTGATGCTTTCAGTTCAGATGGGGACTTCCACATCTGATTTTCTCCGAACACATCCTGCAAAAATTTAAGGCTATGATTAAGAGTGTAATGGCCCTTGACGGAGGCAGTTACAAGGCGTGCCAGATCGCTGTTCTGGGCTTGGTTTTGGATCAGCGCAAAACAGCAAAGTGCTGGAAATATGTGTAGGCCCAGAAATTGTAACCTCCTTGGAGAGAGATTGGGGAGCTATGGCAGACAGGGAAAAGCCTTCTCTCCCAGGGGCAGGGACCAGCAAATGAGGCAGGACCAAAAACGGGACCTCTGCCAAAAAGTCACACATGGCAGCCCCTGAAAGGCTATGGAAAAGCACCCATGAGGCCGCGAGGCAGGCAAGGCAATAAAAAATAGCTTGGGAAAAGGGGATTGAACAGGTGACAGAAAATGTTTTAGATAGATACATGGAAAATTTCTATATAAAAATGGAAAAGACTGGAGGTACCTTAATGTGCAAAAACAGTGTGTAAAAAAGTAATATACAAGTAGCATAACATGAAAATAAAGTTAGTTGAGTACTCTGGTATGTTTTTTTTAAGAGTCTTAAAATAAAATGTTTGTTTGCATTCAATTATCTTAAAAATCAGTCACTTAAATCTGAAATAATTTAAAAAATATTTATATTTAAAAAACTAAAATGAGCAAGTCATGTCCAGAAGGCACAGCTAACATTAAAAGATTAAGATGATACAGAAAGGTATTTGTTTAAATGAGATATTTTCAGTTACAGCTTATAGCATTAATGTTATGATGATAGTTAGAAGTCCAAACTCTCACTCCTCTGGGCATAAACCAACTGCTGGTGTGAAAAGCCCTGTCAGCATGTTGGTCTGCAGTGTGTGCGTTACACACACACACACACACACACACACACACACACACACACACACACACAAAAACATAGATGCACTGTCGCACTTTAAGATCAGCGCTTATACTATTGGCCTCATTACTGGAAATTCTGGCTCTAGGCTGGATAAGCAAAATTTCACACCTAATTGTATTTAAGGTAAGCCCTAAGGAGAATTTTTATTAAAATTTCATTGTGAAATTAAATCCACATGTAGTTCACAGTCTGAACCATATCACATTTTAAGCCTTAAAATTAGAGAACTTAAAGGCAATATAGTATTTTATTTTTTGTGCCAAGTGTTTTGAAAGATTGAGAGCGTCTTTTGACTAGCTTACAAATTCGTCATGTAATAACGCTGAAAATACTTTGTACTTTTGAAAAAAAAGGAAGCAGCATACCTGCAAGGGAACGTGTTCTAGAAAGTTAAATAAATGATGATGAAATCGGCATCAATCTGATGCTGCTCAAACGTAAGTGCATCATTTGGTTAATACACTAGAAAATAAATATACCTGAATTCTACAGTCCCATCTGTAAATGTTTCTGGGCTATTATATTAAATTATTCTGGTAGAAAAAAAAAAACAGGAAGCACAGTACAAGACTGTGAAAAAGTCACCCACCTTTACCTTACATGAAAATGTAAGCCTAGATGTGAGTCCTGTTACCTAAGTCTTCATTTTACCTGTATAAGAACTGGTCTAGGAATAAGTAGCTTTCCGATATAATGCTATTTTAAATTTTCATTTCTCTGAACTGAGGATTTTAACTTGATCTCATCTTACAGGAGACCTTGTAGTTCTAGGAAACAGCATAAACCTTTTTTAAAAGCTTGAAACTCTTGAGAGGTAGCTGGTGGCATATGACAGGGCTTCTTCTCTGCAGTTGTGTATCATCCTGTGCAAATAATCTGAGCAGAAAACATAGAAAGAGATCCCATTTTAGGTGCTTTTAGATACAGTGCTGATGACTGTTTGCTGTGGCGAGCCAGGAAGCAGAAGCCATGGAAGATGAGCGAGAGGGCGAGCACGAGCTTGGTGACTTGCTCCCTTGGCAGCAGGGGAAGACACAAATTTCTGCTTCTGTCAGTCATGGAAAGTTTTGAGTGATGATAAATGCGTGGGAATTTCAGAGATTCTCTCTGACCCTCCTCCCCCCCTCAATGACGCCTCCTCGCTGTTGAGGGTGCTGAACTGTTATCTGCTACCTGCTGTTTTTCATGATCCTCACATTTGTGGATGCATGGTGACTTGGTCCACGGGAAAGGTGCAGCCCACAGTGTCAGAGAAGGGCTGAGGGCGGAAGGGGCCTCGGGAGCTCCTCTGAGCCAGCCTCATACAGAATGGGTTGCTCAGGGCCGGGTCCAGGTGGGCTTTGAGTTATCGCCGAGGACGGAGACTCCAAGACCTCTCGGAGCAACCTGTTTCAGTGTTCAATCAACCTCATAGTAAAGAAGTTTTTTTCTTATGTTTAAATGGAATTTCCTCTCTTTCGGTGTGTGCCTGTTGCTTCCTGGCCTTTCCCTGGGCACCACTGAGAAGAGGCTGCCTCTGTCTTCTTTACCCTCCATTCAGGTATTCATAGAGGCATTTATTAATACACAGTGAGAACCCTCCAGAGCCGCCTCTTCTCTAGGCTGAGCAGGCCCAGCTCTCGCAGCCTCTCCGCGCAGGGCAGAGGCTCCAAGCCCCTAAGCATCTTGATGGTCCTTTGCTACACACGTTCTGGTAGGTCCACCTCTCTCCTGCCCTGGGGAGCCCAGGCCTGGGCCCAGCTCTCCAGCTGTGGCCTCCCCAGTGGTGAGCAGAGGGGAAGGCTCCTCTCCCTCGCCCTGCTGGCAATGCTGTTCCTTGTGCAGCCCAGGAGGCTGTTGGTCGCTTTTGCCACAGGGGTGCAT